CTGTGGTTTTATTCACACAAACAGTCCCACTGCACCCACTAAACTTCAACTGCCTTCAATGAGACTATTCTTACAAATCTAAAGTTAAGCATAAGTCCTAGCAGAAAATGGACACTGTTTAAAAAAAATCTGTTGCTGATTCAGGAGCCATAATAGAATCCATCTCATTCTTACGTATCTGCATTGGTTCTACACAACAAATGGAAAGAAAAACCAGCATCCACAATTTCTAGCAGGTCCTTCTAGTAACATTAAAGCACAATTACTACTAAGTTTCCATCTTCAACTTCTAGCACCCAAAGACTGCCCAAATACAAACAAACCAAAGTAATGAAGTTTTTCTGAGTCTGAAGATTAAACGCTTAAGACTTTTCCAAATAGCAAGAAAGTTTCAAAGGTGCCACTTAGCATGTTATTATGGACTGACACAAACCACAAGACCACTACAGGCAATGATAAAAGCAAACACCACTAGAACTCACTACAACTCTAAATGCCTAAGAAAGGACATGAAATGGCAGACTACCGTTACCTTTCTCTTCTCCCTTTCTCCTGTAGATCACAAAAACACATAGCAGACTCCAAAACAAATACCTACTCCCTTCTTGGAAATGAAGTACTACATATTTGGCCATTAACCTACTGTCTCCGTTTGAATGCTATTTTGGATTCAAGCAAGTAACGAATTTTAACTGCTACTTCAGATATCTGCTCATGCAGATATTCATATTCCTAACTGCACTTGAGTTTAACTTATTTCCAGCTCTATCTGGGTTTACCTCCTATGCAGATAAACCCTTGCCTCTTGATATTCATAAGAGAAGAACATTTTGTGGTAGAGATATCAGCAACTCTTTGTGCTGGGAGGAAGCTACATTTCCCAATGTGTTACCTTCAGTATCGGAGTAGTGGTTTCATTCTGACTTACAGATTGGCCAGAAACCACCTCACATTCCTACATGATAAAAGTAACTGGATGGTCAATTAAACACTGAACTCTTCACGTTTGCATAATATAACTTCTTTAAAGTGTAATTCCAATGCTCTATTAAAATATGCAAACAAGTCACACATCGTTTAACATACTTTATGAGCTACAACCACTTCTCAGCATCAGTCTTTAAGTGACCATGAGATTTTTCAACGTTTCTATTCATTGTTAAATGCCAGATTCTTTCTCTCAGAAGACAGCTGCTTATAAACAGAGAGAAGGTAAGGATTTGGCTACCCACCGCATCATTTCAGTAACTATTCTGAAATAATGCCAGCCAACCTTTCACCAAAGCCTTCTCCCACTTATCAGAACTGGGATATTATTCTCCCTCCACCTATTTATTGGTTTCTCCATCATGCTGCAGCCTCATGCCTTTGTTCAAAATGTTTTGTGGCTTTAGAATTTCAGCCCATAAAACCAACAAGATATCAGATTAATGAAATGACAGAACAAGAAAAAGAGAAAGTTGAGCAACTGATGTCTTCCCTAGACTAGGATTTGCAGTATGGTCTGATTTAATGTACTGCTTACTCATGGTAGAATTTTAATACAAGCATATACAGAACCCTTACCACATATTTAACCAAACAAGTTACTACCTAGACTAACTAAACAGTTTCATCTTTGTTAAGGATGAGGTATATCACCTAACTTGGAATTTTAAAGCTTTTTCCACACACACAATTAAATGGCACTTTGGAGACGATTCCTGGCAAAGAAACTGTTGCTAGTTTCATCTATTTAATTCAAATATTAGAGAGATGCAAAGTTACAAGGATCTCTCTTGAATACACAATATCCCACTTCTTAAGTTAACGTGTAGGGCTTACAATAAAACTAGAAATGACAAAGCAAGCCAAGTAAAAACACTTCTGTTGCTCAAGACTGAGACTTTAAATACTTTTTCAAAATAGGCAAGAAGCCCCAGATTGAACTTAAAAAAAAGTAAAAATCCCTCATCTCTTATCCGTAAAACAGAGAGCAAGATAAAGTCTAAAATTCACATTGTAGTGATTTCCCAGAAATGCCACGGACACAGAAAGTGCTAAATATATGAAAAGTATATTTACTCATGTGAGTAGCAAAGATCTATAGCATCGTTGTCCAAGGATCCATAAATCCTTATGCATAGCAAGGATAAACACAGTTTTCACCATGCTTCCTTCAGCGAAGGAAGTGAAATTTGGTGCTTCCAAAACATACTTCAAATGCAGAAGAAATCAATTGCCGTCCAGCAGCTCCCTTTTAAAACATTTCTGGTTCCACCACTGCATTTCAGCCCAAAGGTGAGTACTAGTACTAGAAGATGACAGAGAAGAAACTTCCTATGTACTTTTTCCACGTGTGCCTGCCCCTTCCTGTTGCCCTGGGAAGTTGTGGATGCCCCATCCCTGGAGGTGTTCAAGGCCAGGCTGGATGGGGCTTTGAGCAACCTGGTCTAATGGGAGGTGTCCCTGCCCACAGCAGCGGGATTGGAACTAGATGATCTTTAATTTCCTTCCAACCCAAACCATTCTATGATTCTATGATCCTATGATTTCTGCTTGTACTGCATCCTCAAGGAAACAGCGGGGCTGCTCTTCATGTTCAGGTGTAGCTCAAAGCATCAAATCAAGAATAACTTAGGTGCGGATAATGTGAGCCACTTGCTTTGCCTTCAGAAATGGACATAAAACTTCTAAATAACAAATTTAGCATCACCATCCATGAAAGTGTTCAGCTTTTTTTAAAGAAGCATTGTTTAATAATCCTATTAGTACACAAATCACAGAAAAAAACCCCATTTTCTTTTTATCTGTGATTTGTAGTATTTAGTTATACCTCCATTCACCATCTTGCTCCATACATTTTCATGCTCAGTGGCACTGACAGCATAGTTTAACTGCCTTTGAATGTACAAACATTCACAAAAAAACTTTGTTTGCAACTTAGACAATCATTGAGTAATGCTGACATTCTGCACCCAAGACAGCAGAGTTGGTATATTTTGTAAATAGAAATTTTATACATACTGGTATATCACTATAACACTTATACATAGCTTGCTATTGGCAGGAAAAAGAATATCAAACTCTATTGTAATTTTAAAATTTCCTAATTTTAATTTCATACGAATTGTGGACATATTTCTGGCAAGCTTTAGGCAACTTAAAGGCTATGTCATAATATGATTTATTTCTAATATTCTGTACTGGGCCCTTCAATGCACAGACTAAGCAAACAGGAATAGTGAAAGATGTGCTCACCATACCCAACTTTTACAGTAAGAAAATTTAGCATGGATCTCCCCCAGAACCTAAGTTAAGGTATCTTTTTTCCTACATAAAGCAAAGGGAAAGGGTCTTGAAGCCCTTATACAGCACTTTCAAATAAAGACTTCTTTGATCCCACAATATCAGCTGGTTAAATAGGGAACAGATTTTCTAACCAAAAAAATCTAAGGTCTAGATTTCCTAACTTAGAAAATTCTAGGTGGATACCTTTATTTCACTTAGTCTACATGGAATTCTGTATTCACTGTGCAATAGCTTGGGGAAATCAGCCTGGGCTCTGAAGGCAGCTGTAAAATAAGGCCCTTACATTTTTCTAGAGGCTAGTTCAAGCTGCATAGCAACAATGCTGTTAGCACACTTAATTTAAAAGCACATCAACTACTGCTACCCTAAACACATTTTCCTTAAGTCATTAGTATCTTCCAAAAATCATCTTCTCAATTTTTCCTCTGTGAACACGTCCAGATTTCTAAAACACCAGCTTTAGGAGTTACACATTCACATTAATATTTCACAAGCACCTAACCTGCAACATCATCCCAAGTAGGACGACAATGACGACACAACCATTAAAACCTATCTGGCTGATGTCCACCAACTCAGATACAGACACAGCAAAAGCCGTACTGATGCAGCCCTGCAAATGCTGCTGTATATTCCCCCAAAAACTGATCGGAACTTCTTTAGTGTCCCCCTAAAAGTAGCCAGCTTCTCTTGCTGACCACCACATACCTCAGAACATACTGTTCAGGAAACAGGGTAACATGACTGAAATGAGTGAGGCTTTAAAAGCATCCACCTGAAGGTGAGTAAGCCCTGCAGTGGGATAAAGGAAGTTATGTATTAAAGTAACTTAAATAAATAGGGATTTACTCGCAAGCCTTTAAAAAAATAATAATATTTGAAGCCACAGTCTGCAGCCTCAGTCAAAAAATAGTAATATTTGAAGGCTGGCTCTGCAGCCTCAGTCACCGGCTGGGTTACAGGGGGCCTTTGAGAGCCTGGCCCCCACCTCAGCCTCTCCGCTCCGCCTCACCGCCTCCCGGCCCGCGCCGCCCGGTCTCCTCACGCCGGGCCCGGCCGCGCCTGGGCCCTGCCGCGCCGGTGGAAGGAGGCGGGAGGCCGCGGGCCCGGGAACCGGGGGAGCCC